TCTTTTAATTAAATTAAGTTATGATAATCATTGGACAATTATACCTGCAGTGTAGGGTTGACATGTTGGTGTTTAAATGGTGATACAACCCTACAGAGGCTTGTTTGAATTATTTTATAGTTTGAAACCAGCAACCCTACAGGGGCTTGTTTGAATTCATTTTATAGATTCAAATCCAACAGAGGCTCAACCCTACACTAAATAATTTTAAAATTTTTTGTTCTAGTTTCCATCCTTTTTTAAATGAACTTAAGCAGTTGTTCCAGAAAAGTGTATGCAAGGCAGTTAAAAAGAAGCATCCTAAACTATTGAAAAGTAAGTAGAATAAATAATAATTGCTACAAAAACAAAAATTATTATAGTTGGCACTGAAAAATATATTTTGACAAGAGTTTTGAAATATTGTATTCAATACAGGAGACCTAAAAGAAGACAAACAAGAAAAGTCATGTTAAGAAATCATCAAAATGTGACAGTATTGGAATGAAGGAAATTGACGGAAGTTGCATTCGATGCATGCAATGATTCCAGGCTACATTAACATAAGGAACAAAATAATGTTGAATAAGGAAGATTTGTGTCATGTGTATGAGTCCTTGAAACTAAATTATGGAAATTTAAATAAAGTGATATTGTTTGTAAATTAAAGTGTCATGCATATAATGTACAGGAAATAAAGAATGAATAAAATTTTTAAGTATTATAAATGTACTTACACATACTGATGGAGCTCCAGTGTGAGATAAAGAGGGACAGAGAGAAAGGGAGACACATGGGGGAGGGAGGAACTAAGGGAGGGAGAGAGAGTATGAATTGACAATGTATACATGCATAGGCGGCTGCAGGATTTCACTGCAAGTAGGGCAAAGGTGTGGCTGAAAGTGGGAGTGGTAAAAAGTAGGTGTGGCCATGACCACACCCACATGTCTTGCTCTTGAGTTTAAGTCTGTGAAGACTTCTATTTCAGCCTTTTGTGACAAAATCCAGTTAAAAAAGGCTCTGAACTTCTCATTGAAGAGTTACCCTGCAATTTTTGTTTTCAAGAGGAGAAAATTTAGTACCTAAAAGACCTCTTTCAATATAGAGTATCAGTAGCTAGGTGATTTAGCTGTTCAATGAGTCCTAGCTGACTATGATAATTAATAATGAAGCTGCTATATGAAAGAGTCAGTTATTCTAGCTGCAGGTTACTGTAGATTATGTCTTCCTGAGTGGCCATAGATATGGACCTATGAAGTGGCTGACTGGCTTACTGTGAATAAACCATGTAATTAGCAGCTTATTCTCTGCTAATTATCACTTTGTTGAGCAAAATAATGTAGTTTTTGTCATTAAAATTAGCTATAATGATGAATTAACCATATCATAATTACTAAATAACTATTAATTAACTGCTAATTATGATGATGTCATCTTCCAGTAAGAATTTCTAGTAGGGCATTGCCCTCAATGCCTGCCCCTGCAGCCTATGTATACATGTACATAACATGGGCAACTGACGCAGCAAGTGTAGTTTGTTTGTGTGTTTACTTAAACTGAGTGAAGAAATATTGACTCTTGCAATATACATACATGTACCGTATTTCCTTAAATAAAAGCCCGGGCGTCTATTTGCTAAAATGGTATTTGGATCTCGAAAAAATATATAAAAAATAAAAAAAACTTCAGCCCAGAGCAGGATTCGAACCCGTAACCTCATGCTTTTGAGGTTCTGGAATGTCAGGCATTATCCACAAGACTACTGAGTCACTCCTAGGCTAGAGTTGCATATTTATAGTTTAATTCTATTGCTACCCAGGCGTTTATTCGAATGTGGCTTCTATTTAAGGATTTACGGTACATGTACAAGAATATAAACATGACACTGAGCAATATAATAAGTCTACATGTCATGTAGATACAAAATGAAAACTGCATCTTTACATAACAGGTTGGCAGCTCTAAACTACATGTACATGTACATGCATTAAAGGACTTTCCATATAGCAGGAAATTTTGGAGGGACTTAAATTTGGCAAATTCCTAAATTTGGGTGACTGGTAGATTTTAATCTGGCAAGTCTGTGGCCATGTGCCATTGAGCATGCGCACAATGGCTGAAAATGGTGGATTTTCATTTTGACAAATGGCTATCAAAATGCCAAATTCACCAAATTTAATTCCCTCGGAAATATCCTGCTATACAGTATGTTTTGAAGAATTAATAACTAAATCTACTTTACAAGGTACACATTATCATACTTGAACTTATACTTAAGTACTATTATTAAAAGCACTGTGTACTTGTACTTATACACATATTTTGTAAATGTACTTAGACTTTACTTGAGTACTTAGACTTAGGGTTTTTTATTAAAAAAACACCAAACAATGAAGGATATAATGTAGAAAAAATAAGCAAGCAAAGGAGGTTACTGTACACATACCTGTAGTATAGTTGTAGCAACAGTCACAGGCTTTAAGCTGTATCCATTACTTGCTGCTGGACAGGAGTAGAATCTTATTTTAGTAACCATTTGCTGGAAATAAACTCATGACTCTTTCCAGGTTAATATCCACCATTTTATTTCACTGTAGCAATACCTGCTAATTAATAAGCATTATAAATAATGAATATTATTGCCCTAATAAAAATCCTTCACTAAGGCCACTTCAATCATAGTATCCCATTACAGAGGTGGGGAGCAGGTTTATTATTCCCATTATTAATTTATTCATTATCACTTGTATAAACTATATGCATAAATAATTTTCAACTGGAATACCATAGGTCGGGATATATTTGTAGCTGCTAATATTTATGATTTTTACCACGACCAGCAATTATCATGCATGTAGATACCAGATAAGATACAATACTAGCAAAGCATCCTGATGCAGTGTTCTTGAGTTGTTCTTACTGTTACTAGCTAGCCATTGGTCTTTTTGAAGCTGCTTTCACCAGTTCTTTTCAGAACCACCCTACTTGCCATAACTTGAAACTCTCCACCCATTGCAGTTAGTGTTGCTTATTGGCTTGGGTGTGCTTTGCTATCATGACTGACCGACCAGTAACAATTTGCAGCAAGGAGCTTGGAGGTAGAGGTTCATACAAAAAGTTAACAAAAACAGAACAAGTTGCTATTGGTGAATGGCTCCACTAAAGCTGCATGCTAAAGAACAGAAAATTAGCTCGTGGTCTTGTTGTCATAGCAACACTCTATCGGTTCCCATGGTACTTAATTACACTTTTATTATTGCAAATATTAGCAGCCGCAAATATTACCTATGGTAATCAAAATAGTGATGGGGAAATGTGGGCATAAAATGGGAAAGCAGTATGAATCTAATTGGAGTGGCGTAAATATAATAAATGTCGTAAGGCATGCATGCATGGTATAAAACCGACAATTTATTCTATTATATTTACCTTATTTGAAGAGATGGAAGTAAACTGAAGTATATAAATTATAAACACAAAACTCAGTGGGTGACTAAGCAATACTATGAAAATAATTGAAGTTTATTTACAATAATTTCTCTGACTGGAAGTGATTGGTGTCACATCAGTAGATAGCCGGGTGTTTAGGCATGCACATCATCTCAATATGATCACAGATCAGTCAGTAAGCACCATCAGTTATTGTAAAAGGTTCTTAGGCGAAGGTTTCCAATTTCTCTCCATTAAAATAATACTGAGCATGCGCAGTTGGCTGAATCAAAATGGTGTCCAACCATAGGTGTAGGAATGATTCGAAAGTTGGGGGGGGCTGAAGGGGGCTGAACATAAAACATGTAAATATGTACTGTCATATGTGCTCTCGACAGCTACTGCATGCCTAATTCCTGCCATTTGTTATTGCTACATTATGCCCATTTAAGTAAATGAAGTTTTAAGCTAACAATAACCTACTAACAACTTGAAATAAAGCCATGTGATGGTATTTCTTATTGTTCACCTACCAAAATTTGGAGGGGCTAAGCCCCTCCTGCTGAAAAGTTGGGGGGGGGGCTTCAGCCCCCCCTTTCCTACACCTATGCGTCCAACCACTTGGTGAGTCCATGTGTGCTTGAAAATAACGACAAGAAATCATTTTCTAGAATTACAATGCCAAGCCACACTGCACTAGCGTCCCTCAAGCACAACAGAATGGTGCAAAAATCATATTTCTAGGATAAAAACTCTAGGACTAGTTCTTACTTAACTGTGGAAGAAGAAGGAGAAAGCTGAACATTTGGTGCATGCAGGCATGCATGCATTCATTTGCCGTAAAACTATCTTATGGAAGTTTTTAACTAATTTTTATAACACTAAACTGTTTTGATGAAATTTTAAAGGACATCTGGACTGTCAGATAGGCCATAAAAAATTCTTAAAGATATTAAACGGGCTCAATGCTTCTGGGATGGCAGCCATTTTGGGGGCACGCTCATCCAACTCAACCCTACATACCAAGCGCTAGCGCTTGGTAATATTACCCTAGGCCTGACATTTAGGTTGACACTGAAATTGCATGTATCAAAAGGTCAAATCTTCCACACTTTTGATTAAAAATTGATATTACACTGGCCTAGCATTATATTGTAAACCCACCTTTAATCACATCAATTAAGTTTGCACATGCTACGTACATGTACAATTAGAAGTAAATGGTTGCAAAAACAACCAAAGTAAGATACTGCAGTAAATGTTTGCATGTGGATCACGTATTAAATACAGTCATTATCATATGATTATGGTACTTCATTCATGTGCATGTAGTTTTTATTTATAAAGTTGTGAATTGCGATGAGGTGATTAATGAATGTTTCATTATCATCAACTTAATTTCTTGCTCATGCAAGATACTGCATGTACAGCACAAAATTTTGAGGGTCATAAATTTCACAAATTTGTCAAAAAAATCTATTTTGCAGATTAAAATTACATTGTTATCTTGTATCATATAATAAATTAATTTTGTGGATTTATTCTTTTATGAATCTTCAAAGAATTGCTAAACCAGTGAAATTTATAGCCATCAAAAATTTTGCACTGTACAGTACATGTACCATCAGACTGCTGTTGCTCATAATTTTACAAGGAGCTTATGAAAAAGACTCCTGATAGTGTACAAAGCACCATGCAATGTTGTCTATTATTTGAATGCTAATGCTTCGCTCATATTTTCAAAGAAACAGAACATTACAAGTGTTCTAACCTTGTCCATAGCATTAACATCAGCTCCATTTTTTACTAATATTGTAACTATAGTCTCAGAACCACTTCTAGCAGCATAATGTAGAGGAGTCTTTTGAACCTAAAAAAATTTATTAACCCAGTAACATTAAAAATGAAAAAAAAAGCATCAATATTTGTCTATTGTTTGAATGCTATTGCTTCACTGAAATAACAGTTACATTAAGTGTTCTAACCTTGTCCATAGCATTAACATCAGCTCCATTTTTTACTAATATTGTAACTATAGTCTCAGAACCACTTCCAGCAGCATAATGTAGAGGAGTTTCTTGAACCTAAAAATATTAATTAACCCAGCAACATTAAAAATGAAAAAAAAACGTCAATATTTGTCTATTATTTGAATGCTATGGCTTCACTGAAATAACAGTTACATTACAAGTGTTCTAACCTTGTTCTTAGCATTAACATCAGCTCCATTTTTTACTAATATTGTAACTATAGTCTCAGAACCACTTCTAGCAGCATAATGTAGAGGAGTCCCTTCATCCTACAAGCAAAATAGTAAACAAATTTTTCAAAATGAAATAAGACTGAAAATTGTTGGAAATAACTGCCATTGCTATGATCATGAATTTTTTAACACTTCATCAAAAATATGTATAATTAAGACAAGCTTTTCATGAGTTATCATGCATGAAGGAGCAAGGTACATGTATATGAACTCTTTCAGTTAATAAAAATATGGCAACACTATTAATTGCTTTATTATTATAACTGATATGCAGTGGTACAAAATTAATATCAATAAGAAAAAATATTGTTTTTATTTGTTATAATGCTACAAGAAATCAATTGATAAAATTAAGAGATACATGCTGTTTTGCAACTATTATATCCAAGAAGATTATACCCTTCAGATGGGATTGAAAACTTGATCACATGTGCCCCTCTTCTTAGTTTGGTTTTGTCACCAGAAACAACTGGTGGTAAAGCTAGAGAATGAGAAAAAGCAATTTTTCCCAAAAATGTGCATTATTGTGCTTTGGAAGCTTTTTTATTGCTTCATTATTATTACTGAAGTTATTAAAATGTGACATCATTGGCTATGATTACCAAAACAAAAATGTTTATTTACATGACTTTAAAATTCAAAATAATGTACTCTAGGCATTGCCTTTATAAATAATTTTTAATTCACAAAAACTACATGTTCTAGTAGCTATTATGTTGAGAGAAAATTACACTACATGTACATGTGAATACTTTATTAGTGGTTAATAACTGATGTTAGTTAAGTATGAGATAAAAGTATATGGATGATTACATTTAAATCATTTGCTTTTGGCACTGTTGCATTAATTCTTCATTCAATTAAATGAACTGAATGAAGGTATCTGCATGAGTGTGGCTACAAACTAAATGCTAAAGTGCTCGTAGCCTGGACTTCTACACATTGCACACTACACACACATGCATACACATTCAAACAAACTCTTGTCAAGCATCTAAATAAAGAACAAAATGGTGTCAGACAGCCTGACGCATGTACTTAGGCTTCTTTTTTTTCTCCATTGACTCTTGTATAAGATGCTTTAAGAAACAAGTTTCATGGTGTATGATAGCCTTAAGAATTGTATTTGAATAACATAAGTTGTTCAAATTTTTCTTTTTAAGACAATACATGTACCTTTCTGGTTAAAAATGCCTACAAGCTGAAAATAGGGCAGAAATGTGGTGTTCATATGAATGCATTTCCAATACAAATACAAATATATCAGATATAGATTTCTTATATCAATAAAATTGCTTTGACTCCAAGTCTTGTGTATATGATACACATTGACACTTTATATGCACTAACCCAGTCTTTAGCATTAAGATTAGCTTTATTGTTTACTAGTGCAGTCACCATAATCTCAGAACCACTTCTGGTAGCATCATGTAGAGGAGTCGTTTGGTCCTACATTTAGATATTGAAAAAAACAGTGTAAAATAACTAGGATTGATGCGAATAAGGATTGAATAGCAGTACAACTATGGATATAATACAGCTGTAATAATTATAACTGAGTGTATAAAAGAGATCTATTGACAGCATAGGTGTAGGAATAAGATATTAATTGGCAGGGCAAAAGTTATACATGTAACCTTGACCCTCACAGTAGCTTGATAAATTTCTCAGTGCTTTTGGTAAAATATTTTGAGAGATACATGCATGCATTTTCATAACAGCTAAAATGATCAATTAACCATGTGCAAGTATATGTTATAACGCCCCTGCAAGGCATATATCACATTTATCAGCACCAAACCCAAGGGCCACAGGCCTAAGGGCGAGGTGCTGATAAATGTGATATATGCCGAGTGGGGGGTGTTATAACAAATTAATGTCCCTGCCTAAGCCAAACTTCACATACTGCACATGCGCAGGTGCCACGTGCTACTTACCACAACCCTGTGTGGGATAAGAAGGAGGCAAGGAGATGGCTGCTCTGAAGAAAATATTCCCACGCTCTGGGAAAAAATCAGGAAAAATTCCAAAATTATAATAGAAATAATCCAAAAATTTTCCTACACTGTTGAACAAAAATTAGAAAAAAATTGAAAAAAAATTAAAAACAGAACATTATAGTACTTTCCACAGTAATGGCAGCCCAAAGAAGACCCCCAGGAGTCTCAACATTAACTTAGACTGCCATAGAGAGTGTAAGATGACAATGCAGTGATAATGATGACAATGATCCAACCGGCACCTTTTTGTGGAGCCTTCATTCTGTTTATCAATTATTTATGGCCTATGACTGCTTTAGTCTAGCTGGTCCAGACCCTCTGTTGCTTCTGGCCGAATTCTCTTGCATCGTATAAACGCTCAATGATTCCGGCTAACTCTGTGTCAATAGCTCAAGCAAAACGGCCGGCACTATCACGTTTTCATTAAACTTACAGTCCTTGTTCTGTTAAGTGACAAGTTTATTTTTATTGTTCTTTTTTCAAATCACTATATTTTGTTATTTTTAAGTCCATTTCGAAGTTCTATTGCACTATGTAAACTGTTAACCACAGCAGTGCTTATATCAAACATCAAAGGGATTTATCATGCCCTAGGGCAGTATAAGCGATTTATTGAAGTTTGGCTTAGGTAGGATATAAGTGCTGCTATATCATGCAATTTTCTACTTAATTAGTACATTCCATTATTTATTATGCTTAATGTTGACAGGATGCACATCTCAGTACTGGTTTACAGAGGACTTTTACAGAGAATAAGAAAAAAAAGATACAAAGGTAGAAGGAAACAATAAACAAACAAAAAACACAGTTACTAAAAATACAACAAAGGAAAATAATGTCATAGTGATAGTAAGTCTATCAAGACAATATAGAAACAATAATAATTGCAATAATAATAATAATAACAACAGTAATGAACTAACTAACTAACTAACCCTGAATTAACATTAACCTAACTTATTTTATTTTAATTTATTTTAATTTTATTCGGTTTCGTTACGCTAGCCAATCTTAATTTTCAACTTTGTGCACCATGTGTCTACATGTACAAGTGTATGTGCAGGCAATTACACTATGGTGGCTATAAAAACTTTGTCAAAAGTTGCTACTAAAATTTTTATGTATATGCCTATCAGAAGTTTATCATGCATTTATACATCTATTTTGATAAATTATAGGTGAGAGTACTGTCAAAAGTTACTACTAAAATTTCCATGTTTAGAACTATCAAAAGTTTACCATGCATTTACATTTATTTAATAAATTCCTCATGTAGTAATTTCTATATGTACATGCGTCTGCTTTTTGCTCAAAATGCAGGTTTATACTCTTGCATGTGTATACAAGTGCAAAAGTTAATCAAATTTTAAACTCAGCTAACCTTGTCATTTTTAGCATTAACTTCAGCTCCATTTTTTACAAGTATATTAACTACATGCATATTTTTAGAAGAACTTCTAGCAGCATAATGTAGAGGAGTCTCTCGATCCTATAAACAGAAAAATAGAAATAGTAGAGTGTGAATTTTTTTACAAAAACATTAATAATAATAATGTGTTCTGTCTCTTAGGCCACTTATATTTATATTATATTTCATGATAATAACAATAATGAATGATCTTTTTAACTGTAAAAACAAAATATGGACAAGAACTAAGAAACAAAATCAAATTGAACAGTTAAAGGCTGGCTGCAACTTATACAGCAACCATAAATTATTAAATTTAGAGTTAATAGTTATGAAATAAGTGACAATTACTACAGGGACAAACATAATGATAGGAACATAGATTATAACTACATAAAAAGTGATTCCACAAATGATTATACATAAAATTTTTGAGAGAATCAAAAGATTAAGGGAGAGATCAAGAAGGGGAAGACTATTCTACAAACAAACCACTCAATTGAAGTAGAAATGTTTAGTACAGACGCCTGTACACATACATGTAATTTAGTTTACCTAGACCAGTGGTTCTAGTGGTGGTATCACTGAAGGAGACAAATCACAGGAGGATGTAATATACATTTTAACAAAAAGGGAATGTTAAATAAATCCCTGATTAAGGGTACTAAATTTAATTTAATGAGCTGATTTTTATATGACAAGGTAGAACCTGATAGGATGTACTTGGTTGCTCTTCTTTAGACAAGCTCTAAAACTCTTATGCCTTTTAAGTAATTAGGACTCTACTCCACACCTGTGAACAATAACTGAGCTGTGACCAGACTAGAGTCAGATATAGGACACACTTTACACCAGAGTCATCTATACTGGGAAAGCATACCATGCACATGCATATTATCACGTATATAACTTCTGTTATACTGGTAACATTAGGGATTAATACACTCCTTAAGCTTCTATATCTTGCCATATAGCAAGATCATGTCGTGCTTCACCTCAAACTGTTATGTAGAAGAGAGAAAGTGATAGTGAGCATTTTGAGGCATTCAGGCTGATACTCCATTCAGCACACCATGCAGTTTGTCAGAGAGGAGAAATCAGATGACATTAGGTCTCTATCTGTAAAAGACGACAACACTCTTAGGAATTTCATGTCATCAGCAAATCAATATAAAAATGTATAGTAGACAAAATTCTGTCTGGGATGTCATTGACATACATGTAGATCTATGTGAGAAACAACAAGAGTACTAACAGTCTAACACACTGCCCTGGGGATTCCAGATGTAACCTTAAGACACTGAGAACATTTATAATTGATATAAATGAGACGGAGTCTGTCTGGTAGCACTTGAAGCACAACCATAGTGGTCTAGTAATGCCAATCATTCTGAGTTTATAAAGCAATTCGTGGTGAGGCACAATAT